GTTATGGATGTTTATATTTATAATATGTATGTATTTAAAGTTATATATGTGTAGTGTATCAACTATCTGGCATCCATAACACAGGCCTCGTACCTTACCATAGAACCAAAACGTGCTGAGTGTTAATGTCCCAACATATTTATTTTTTAATCGGAGCTTAGACTAGATGCTTTCTACAATTTAAAATAAATTTATGGAAATAACATGGAAATATGGCATTTCTATATTTTATTATTTCAAAAGTATAATCGATCGTGGAAGGTTGTTATCTTTAAATAACAGCCATTTGAAAGTCTTAGTCTAGAGTCTACAACAATATCCTGAGTCAGTAAATGTAACTGAAGGTCGCTTTGCGGTAATTGTATCACATATTTCGGAAGTTTACTATTTTAATATTAATATATTTTATTTCTAATTTCTATTTCATTTTCAAGAACAGAAGATATTTTGTAGGGTATTGATTAAATTTTTTAAATACTATATCTATTTCACTGTATTTCGCTAACATAGTTTAAATATTTATTTTTGTTTAATTTGTTGTAAAAGAATGGCTTCTTATATAACTACATAAAATTAAAATAATTTATATTATGTATGGTATTTATATGTATGTATGATAGATCCGGGGGTCCTGGGTTTCAAGCCCCATTTCGGGCCAAGTTCAATAATTGATTATTTCTGTTAAGAAATACTCAGTAACCGCCCGGAGTTGGGAAGTTAGCGGTGTTTAATCCTCGAACTTCGGAGAGCACATAACGACAGCTTTATGCAATTGAATTATTGTAATATCTTATAATAAATAATAATAAGGTCCTCGGCCACGGCGGCCAATCTCACTGAGACTGGTCATCTGCACAGGAGATGTTATAGTGCACAAGTGTGCTCGAAGACACAAATGCCCTTTCTATTCCTGTCACTATCGTCCTCTAGTGGGGCGACTACACACGATCAGTGAGAGTTAGAGGCCCGGGACTCGAATTCAGAACCTCCGGGTGTGTACATGCTAGCCACTACACCACCGAGGCAATAACTTGTAATGCGCATTGCAAACTATGTAAGCTATTTAGATACACCTCTCAGCCATCGATTAATAGCTAATGGCACTCTCTTTATTACTTTCTTTTCCGTAAACTATGTTCCTATATAAAATCACGATCAATTAGTTTGTTGTGAGATAACAAACCACATTTTTTTTCTTATTCAAAATAATAATTAAAATTGAAAAGTTACATACAAATAAGTATGTTTTTGTTGTTTTATTATTTGTTACGTGGTCTTTTAAATCTCAGTAAATATCCGACCGATTTTAAAAATTGAATGGTTTTATAGCCCATTTATTAAAGAAGGCATTGAACATCACAATAAAACATTTGGGAGTAGAAAAACCTGTTTTAATTCATTTAAATTCAAAATATTTTATGCAGCATTAAACTATTACAATTTTTTACTGAACGTCATGAGTCTACTACCAGTTCGGAAAGAAGAAGCCTCAGACCTGAGAAGTACTGGCGAAAGAAACTCAGACTTCTACTCATTGTTTTATGTTTAATGGAGTCTTATGTCATTTTATATCACTTAAGTACTGAATTTTTTTTTTCAAACTCTTTTCGCTACTCTTACGGCGAACTGATGATGATGTTCTCCTAACCGAGTTCGGCCACGGCGGCCAATCTCATTAAGACCAGCCAACTGCGCAGGAGATATTATAGTGCACAAGTGTACGCGCAGACACAAGTGCACTCCCTATTCCTGTCACTCTCATACTCCGGTGGGACGACCACTCGACACGACCGGTGAAAGTTAAGGCGCAGGACCGACGGTTTTACGTGCTCTCCAAGGCACGGGGGTGAAACACCGCCAACTTCCCATCTCCGGGCTGTTACTGAGGCTTACTATACAGAAAGACTCAATAACTAAACTTGGCCCGACCCGGGACACGAACCCAAGACCTCCGGGTGTGCAGCCGTACATGTTAGCCGCTACAATACCGAGGCAGTTAACGACGAACAACTATACATGTAAATGACATGCACTATCTACCTCAATGACAGAGTTCGTATTGGTCATACAAAGCTTAAAATAAAACGGGATTTTTTTGATGACATTATTCAATAATAATCTCAATATTAGTGGAAAGCACAGAAGAGAGAGAGTCAAGATTCTCCGCGTTTTCTCGTCAAAATTGCCAGACATAATAATGCATCTTTTTCAAACACTACTTTAACAATTTAAATGAAATCTATTCGGATTTTGTTTTGAGTTTATGTTTCTAATGTTTCAATCGCTTTACAGTAAACATGGTCTGGAGGGATCTTCTACACGACTAAATCCGAAAAGATAGTTCCATTTAAAGTGTCAAATATACGCGTAAATCTTTCTCAACAAATTATAATTCAAACGCCTTCCTCACAAACTTCTTAATGATTGATAACTACCTGCACTATGTACGTTAATTGTGTGGTGCAATTGCAAGCGGAAGCAGACGTCGTCAGCGGCGTGGAACGTTGCGACACCGCGATTAATTAAATATATAACTAACAAGTCATAAGCGACAGCGATTAAAACAAAGAAGAGCAATTGGGTTAATGCCAATAACCAATAACTCAACCCGCAAACAAGTTCCGAGAGCTCATCTAGCCTTTCATAAATTAAATGATATTTAAAACTTCTTTTAAACATTTTTAGAATGGACTCTAAAAGTCAATTAAAATTCTCACACGAAAATTCAATTGTATAGCTTTCCCAAAAAAATGTAATTTGATTTGTAGGGTTAAGCAATTTATGTAAACATAATATGCATATTACATTTTAATGTTTTGTTACGGCTAGTATATATTGTGTGGTTTTTGTATTACGAGACAGTCGCTCGATAGCCGTGGCAATAAATAGACAATAAATATTAATTATAGTAATTGGACTTCAGTATCTTTTATTGCCAGCACAAATATAGTTCCTACACTGGTGACCCCGAATTGATTCTTTTTTTTTTAATAAATTATCTAGCGACTGTCTCGTAATACAAAAACCACTGTCAGTATCTTGTATTGCCAGCACAAACATAGTTCCTAAAGATTATAAACGAGAATGTAGTCCCCTTTAAATATTAAAAAAAAATCACAAAAATAAAATGAAACTTAAAAATAGCCACAGACAAAACGGTTCTGAAGTATTTTCTATACATTTATATGAAAAAAGTTACATAATATACAACATATGAAGAATTATACATAATGTTTGTTAAACAAAAAGAAGAAAGAATATATTAGTGCCTTTGGCACAGTATACTGAATTATTTGTTTTACAATTTGATCCCGTATAAAAAAAAACTAATTTAATACATACTCACTGAACGTTTCTTACTAGATCTTACCTTGAATTTTAAGTAATAGTTTACCGTGCTTATGTATTATTTAAATTTTTATGAGAATAAAAATACTGGATTTTTAAACTTGGACCACTGATCTTAGCGCTCGAGTTACATGAGTTGCACTGATAAGGTATTGAAGTTCGAATATCAGAAATATCTTGTATCGGCATCTTACACTGTAGTAAAAAAAAGGATATCCATACTTCCATACCAATATTATAAATGTGAAAGTTTGTGAGTATATATGGATGTTTGTTAGTCTTTCACGCCAGAACGGCTAAACTGATCTGGATGAAATTTGATCTGGAATAAGAAATAGGCTACTTTTTATCCCGAAAAAATTTACGGTCCCTAAGGGATAGATTTGATTTTGTTTTTCTAGAGGCGAACCCGAGCGAAGCGACGATAAGCCGCTAGGATGTTATCATCATATTTTGTCATAACTTCGATGAATTATTATTTAGTTGTAGAAAAGAAAAGTACCAAATATAGTATTATGATTAAGTTTTATATTCGATGACTTTGGTATATATAAAAACATTATTTCATAATTTTGAATTATTTTCTTCTTGATGTCGATTTTTTTAAAAGTACCTACTTTTTTCACAATAATTTTCGTTGAAAATTTTTTGAAACCTCTATTATCTCCTATTCAGATAAACTTATGTGAACTCGATTTTTTTTCTACCCTTGTTACATGTATGGAATGCCGACTGTATTTCTTTGGTTTTTTTATAATTTAACTATATAGCGGTTCTAACTATTAAATTTCAGCAATGAAGCTCCAATAGTCTTCGAATAAAATGACTATCACATACATACAAACGGCATGGCAAAATTATAAGTGTACCATTTTAACCATTTGGCTACGGAACCCAAAAAATTGAATTCATCGTTTGAATTATGAGTTTTTATAAGTGTGTAAGGTACATTAAACAAAACAATTTTTTATTTGCTTTTTTTTATTTTAAATAATTTTAATATGTATGTGCTAAAAATGCATATTCTGACTATTTAAATGACCCGTGCGTGAATCGAACTTGTGGTCGTCGACATTACATAGCCAGTGCTAATTATATTGCTAACACTCTATGCCACGACACTCGTTGATTTACACAATAAATAAGAAAGTACTCAAGAAATCCAAAGTATTGATTGATTCAAGAAAAAAATTCATTATTATCAATAATGATAAGTAAATACAACATAATTAAATTAACCTTACATCTAAAATAGAAAAGAACCTATGACAAAATATCTTAAACAATTACTAATATAAATATGAAAATAGCTATTAATACAAATTAATTTTAATTTACTGAATACATACATACATTTTTGGAGTTCTATAGATTTTTCTTTCATAACTCATCTTAATTCTATCTGATGTAGAAACGGTAATAATAGTAAGCAAATAGTAATAGATATATCATTCTATAATCGTTGCAGAATCGTTGAAGATTATTAACGAATAACAACTCACGTTAAATCGTAAAATTATTATAATAGGAATGAAAAATTCTACCATTATGTCAGGGAATTATAATATAGTATTCGTATATATTTTTTTAAATTTCTATTTTCCAACGATTGTAGAAAAACATCTAAAACAAACCAAGCACCTATTGAGTTAAGTAAAGTACAAGGGGAAGGTCTCGACGTTATATTTCACTTCCCTTGAATCCGAGTCTAGAATAGATTTTTCTGTCCCATAGTCCAAAGTATTGAAGAGATTCATTTGACGTTTGTATACTTCATCTGAATTATCTTTTAACTTTTCATTTTTTTCAACATTTTCTTCAGAAATACTGCTCATATCATTTGCGTATTTATCCTTTTGTTTGATCGTTCGTGTAGCTTTTATTATTTTTTCTGTAGTCGTCTCTACTATTTGTCTCTTCTCATTATTATAGGCCTCATTTACCCAATCTAGACTAGTTTTGGTATCTGTGTTCAGTTCTTCTGATTTTTTATCTGTAGGGCTTCGTATTTTTGTTAGAACTGTATTTATAGCCTCAGTGGTTGTTGAAGTTTCTCCCTCTAAATTTTTAGTTTTACTTGTATTTTCTACTATAATATCATCCTCATCATCATCAAAAAATATTTCAAACGTCGTTTTTCCTTTATTTTCAATTTTCACTTTTTCTTCATCTGTGTTCACTTCTGAATTTATGTCATTATAAATTATTTTATGGGGCTGGGTTGTCAATATCTTATTATTTTTTGAAAAATTTCGGTTATTTTTTTCATTATTTGAGGAACTATGTACCATTAGCTTTGTATCTTCGATTGATTCAAATGTTATACATTTACGAGCAGGAATTTGCGTAATATTAGATATATTATCGTTTTCTTGACTTATAGATTTTTTAAAACCTTCCGTTGTTTTAGATAGGTCGAGTTCCGTTGTTTCAGCTAGGTCGAGAACTTTCTTTTTAATAGTTTTAATATCAGGAGCACTTTTAATTGCTTCTATGATCAAATCGATACCATCGTTAACTAAAAATAAAATAATACTTATGTATGATAAGCATTGTTAGGAATACATAAATTTAGTTACAAAACTGACTTACCTGGAGGAACATGTAAAGGACGATTTTGCTTTAATATATAGTCCATTAATGTTAAAAGATATTCTATAACATCGTCGTCTCCCATAGCTGATCTTTTCCTTCGATTTTTAGAACTCAGTTTTTGGGCTAAGTCTTTTAGTTTCCTGAGATTTTTAATAATATTTTTCGTATAATTATCTAATGCCACTGTGTCGTTCTCATTTTCATTTTTGTAACTCACCTTCGGTATTTTATTTACATCAGTCGTGTTTCGTGTCGACTCCAATGTTGAAATAGCGTCGTACATTTGCTTCATAAATTTATTTTGAACCAAATTGTAATGAACTAACAATTTCTTCAGCCTATCCAGTTTTTGGGATACTGTCTCGTTATAGTTTATCATATTTGGTTTCTTTCTTACACACCTATTATAACGACGGGTTATTTTTATTTTTTTAATATTTTTTCTATTAGTTATATAATCGACCAAATCATTTAAGACATTGGCAAAATTTTCCATAGATTGTATAAATATTAGTGTATTTTCTTTAATATAACGTATTTGGAAACGTTGTGTCTCTGTTAAATTTAGTAAAAATGGCTCGTGCTCATCTTTTAGTATAGCTATTAATATTCGTTCATCATTATTATTAAATTGATTTTCTGAAATTTGCTTATTTTTGCCATTGCTCTTATTCGAGTTAAGCAATTTAAGAAGACCCTTAATAATTTTTACGGACTTAATAATTCTTTTACTCTCCACTTTCAATTGATTAAGTTTCGAACGTAAAACTTTGTCAGTAAAATTATAATTGCATGAACTAAAATTTTTACACATAGTTTTTATAAATTTTCGCTTATGGAAAGAATATCTTTCATCGTTAGTTGATTTCTTTCCTATGGTTTGTGTTGTCTTAAATATTTTGCTTAAAAAGGTTTTCATTTTCCCTAAAATATTAAATTTCTTGCGTTTATTTGGTAAAGTAGTTGCATTTTTTTTACGGAAATTAAAGAAAAATTTCTTTAGAGTTTTCCTAAATTCACAAACTTTGCTACAAGTTTTATTTTTATATACATCAATGTCTTTAAGATTCTGAGTCATATTTTTGAAAGAGATATCTAGGTTACTTTCAGTGGTTTTATTATTCTGAGTATTGTCTGTAGTAAATGTAGTTCTAATCTCTTTATATACTAATGGAACAGAATTATTTGTATCCGTGTTTGTATTGATTTTGTTATTGTTATTTTTAGCAAATTTTGAAGATACATTTGTAGTTAAATTAGTCTCAGAAGTTGCATTTCTACTGTCTAATGCGTAACTAAAGTAATTTAATTTGTCTAATGTATCTAATGTAGTATTCTCCAGTACAAATTTATTCCTGAGATGTTTACTGTCCTGTAACCTTGACTCAGTGATTATTATGTTATCTGAAACATTAAAATATTACTTATTATCTTAAATAAAACGATCTCTTGGAATATTTCGCAAATTTATTTAGATTTTTGTTTGCCAACGTTTCGAATGTTTCACAATAATCATGGTCATGAAATAGTCCGAAAAGATATTTTTATTTGAGATGTCAAATATTCACGTACATCTAAGAAAGTATTATAATAGTTATTAGAATAGTTTAAATGACAAAGTATTTACACTGTAGTCATGATTTAAATTATTACTTGACTAAATGTATGTTTATCCGAATTTTGAAAACACCATCGTATCAGGTCTAGTTATATATATATATATATATATATATATATATATATATATATATATATATGGCAGTGGTAGCCCAGTGGTAACGCTCTCGCTTGGGAAACCGAGTGAAGCGGGTTCAAATCCCGGGTCTCGCACCTCTGATATTTTCATGTGCGAATCATTTCTAACATGATTACCACTTGCCTTACGGTGAAGGAAAACATCGTGAGGAAACCTGCATGTCTGAGAGAACTTAGCAAGTTTTCGAAAGACATGTGAAGTCCGCCAACCCACACTTGGCCAGCATGGTTGACTATGGCCTGATCCCCCTCGTATTGAAGGGAGGCCCGTGCCCAGCAGTGGGACGATAAAAAGGGCTGAATACAATATATATATATATAGAGAGAGAGAGAGAGGCTTTAACAAAACACTTAACTTCTCCTTTTACCTTTCCTAAACATATCATTGAAATTTTCGGTCATAATAACTTCTCTCTTTCTTCTATAATTTATTCCCAGTTTTTCATTTTGCTTATTAGCCAGTACTTTCTTCATCCACTGCTTCTTGTTAACTTTATTAACCATTTTAGTCTTAGCTTGGCTCTTCTCTATATTCTTACTTTTCTTCGTATTTGTATTAACTTGTTTAGACATTGATCTTTTTTGTGTTACTTTAGCATTAGATTTATTAATATTTTTTTGACTTTGATTCAAAAACATTTCTACGGAAGCCATTACCTTTTTTAGTATATTCTCAGCAAACATAGCTGTGGCATCAGTTTTATTAATATTCTTGGACTCAGGTATTTTTATGTTAGTACTTTTTGCTATATTTGCTTTTTTGTCCTGTTGGGTATTTTTTTTATTTAAAGTGTGTCTTTTTGCTGGAGTATTTTTCTTTTGTGAAGCTGCTTTAGATTTATTCATTGCCAATTTCTTTTTTTGAGTGTCTTTCGTTTTCTTGTTTTTTGTATTTATTTGCTTCTTATTTTCTTTCAACTGTTTGCGTACTTGCTTTTTATTTTGATTTTTATTAACATTTTGCATTGGAGGTTTTTTGGTTGGCTTTTTTGTAATCGTTCGTGTTGGCTTTTTTGTTGACAACTGTCTTTTAGTAATTTTATTTCTTAGTGCGCCTTTTCTTTTCTTTAACTGTGTTTTACCTTTATCTATAAAAGATTTAATAAATTAAGATTTAGATATTTATGCATTATATTAAAAAAATACAAATAACTTACTATCGGGACAAAAACTTAGAACATGACAGTCCCACCGTCCATTAGCGTCGCAGTCACATACAGTGCATCCAATGCACCAGTCGGCTGAAACAAAAGATATGAAGGTTTAATTATTTTGGTTTTAAAATTTTGCTTTCTGGTTCAAAAATTGAAAAGTTCAAAATATGAGTAAAACTTAAAATCTTTATGAAACTATTTTTTATCATTCAACTAATTAAGTATTTTTCATAAATAGTTTTAGTTATCTTAATCCATCATCAGATTAGTATCTGTCTCATTGTAGCTAACATATTATTGTATCACATCATATATCATGTCATGTTACCGTACTTACAAAGTTGTACAAAAACCAAATTTAAATTAATTTTATTAAAAATGGTTTTGTGTTGTTATTTGTGCTCTGTATTTATGGTTAAAATAACAAAAAATGTAATATTTTACTTAAATATAGAATAATAAATAATTATTTATTGTACTATATAAAAACGTCAATACATGGGATTAAATTAAATATAGGCATAATTCACCTCGTTCCAATATACGTGTTTGCAAAATACATTTAATATATTATATTACCGGAAAGAAAGAACCATAAAAATAAACTCAATGCAAACAAAGCAAATGAGTGGATAAATAGTGAGGGGTTATATATATATATATATATATATATATATATATATATATATATATATATATATACAAAAAATAAATATAAAATAAAAAAAACAACACACAGAAAAGAAGCACAGCAGGCAGCATATATATCGTTTTTTTCTACGATGTAACGTACTTCAAAAGAAAGTAGACTTTTCTATACTCCCATACAAGAGATTGGGATTCAAATTCTAAAGGCCATTATCGTACTAAAAGATATTGCTGTACAAACCATTTTTTCTGTAACATTTCAACAAATGATTGCCAAACATAAATTAAATTGCCTTGAAACTTTTACCTGGCGGGCATCCTTCACTGTAGCTGGACTCGTAAGGCTTGCATTGTTCTGAAGGCAGTTGTTTGTTAAAAACTAAAAAAATAAAATAAATATATATTAAAATGAAATACAAATAAATACTAAAATGTGTACATAAACTTCATTCTAACTTAATAATTTCTTAGATTTACGCGATAATTGACATTGAAATAAAACTATACTATCGGATTTTTTGCGCTCTCTCCCGTGACCATGATTGCTGTAAAACATTGGAAACGTCGGGAACCAAAAATCTAAATAAATCCACGAAAAAATCCGAAAACATAGTTATATTTATAATGTTCATTCTTTTCTCTATACAAAACATGTGGAATAAAATTTAAATCATTTTCAGTAGAAGTCAAACTATGTAGAAAATAAATCGTATATTTTTTTCCATTTCATCTAGGCTCTATTTCAAAGGTATATTAAATATAATTACGAGTACTACAAATATTCTATGTTGTTTTAAACAAAATTTAATTTTTCATTTTTAGGCTTACGTACCCGAAGCATGCCAACTGAACCTTATAACTGATGAGGATGTTCTCCTAGCCGATTCCGGCTACGGCGGCCAATCTCATTGAGATTAGCCAACTGCGCAGGAGATATTATAGTGCTCAAATGTACGCGCAGACACAAGTGCACTCTCTATTCCTGTCACTCTCATACTCCGGTGGGATGACCACTCGACACGACCGGTGAGAGTTAAGGCGCAGGACCGACGGCTTTACGTGCTCTCCGAGGCACGGGAGTGAAACACCGCCAACTTCCCAACTCCGGGCTGTTACTGAGACTTAATATACAGAAAGACTCAATAACTAAACATGGCCCGACCCAGGACCTCTGGGTGTGCAGCCGTACATGTTAGCCACTACACCACCGAGGCAGTTAAATATATATATATAAGCCTATAACTAAGCCTCCGCTGTCTGTCTGTCCGTCTGTCAAAGGTCTGTATGTCATGAACCATAATAGGTAGAGCGTTGAAATTTTCACAGAGCGTGTTTTTTTCATAACAACAATATATATGAAATAAAAAATTAAATTACAAGAAACAATTTTTTAACGTTCGTAATCGATCATCGAAGTTAATATACTACATAAATGGAGTAAAAGACATATTAATAAAAAGTATATGTACAATGGTACGGAACCCTTCGTGTGTAAATACGACTCGCACTTGACTGATTCTTTAAAAGTATGCTATTATTTTTATAATAACCGAAATAGTTTATGGTCACTAGGCAACGATCAAAAATCAGCATCTTACTCATTCAAAAGAAAATCCGACACTTGCTGATTAATTGTAAGTGTTTGCAAAATTGGTTGAAAAATTTTGCAAATTTAAATATTTATATGCACAAAATTTTGCAATTACTTGATAGGATGTGAATGACGGTCTGTACTCGAAATTGTTACCACTGGGCGCAACATCGTATTTTATGAATAATTGCGAATTCTTGAATATAATTAACTGAAAATTGCTTTTTAAAGCTATGATCGTGAGTGTAACTTGATGTAACTCTTTAATTATTTACTCCAAAAACCGTTGTATTGTAAACTGTCCGACAGTTAAATGCAGTAATGATGCAATATTTATTTAATTTTATTGAAGAGTATATACCAAGTTTCAAGTAATTCTGATAATTTTTTTTAGATTGTATTATAACATGTTTTCCTGTGGGAATTAAGTAATCTCCCGTGATAAAAGTAACCTATGTACCTCCCCCCCCCCCCCCCCCCTCCAACTATCTCCACACAAAAAATTACGCCAATCCAAAAATGTTACTCCGTTTCGACGTGAAATAAGGACAAACAAACACACAAACAAACAAACAAACAAACAAACACACTTTCACATTTATACTATTAGTATGGATTTTCAACAATCATTTAATATGTAAGGGTAAATATCTTTCCTATACAAACCGCTTCTATATGGTTTAAAACTTATCTAATAAAATTAATATAATGCTTATACATTGCTTACTACTTGTAAAAGATTTAGCTTACCATCTCTCGCAGCATCCCGAAAGAAGATATCAGAGAAAGATGGCGACCGCCGCAACCGAGACTCTCTATAAATATAGATTCATAACATTAATACTTTTTATGAATATTAGACCGCAACATTATCAAATGAATATAAATAACTTTGCGAGTGAAGCGAATGTAAGTCGCTAATATTATAAAAACATAAGGCCCGTATTACAAAAAAATATGGTTGTATTAGCCTCTTATCAGCTCCGCCCGCGTTCAGATGACCAAAAATCAAATTCTTAGGTTTTACATATTACTATACTCTTACATTGCAGTTTTGTATTATTTCTCAGAAATGAGATATTTTCCCGCTGTAAAAAGTATCCTATATGTTGACCCAGATAACCAGCTATCACCATACCAAATTTCATCAAAATCCCTCCAGTGGTTTTTCTGCGATGCGGTAATAGACAGACAGATAGACAGACAAACAGACAAAAATTCTAAAAACTATATATTCAGCCTCTGTATCGGTAATAATGTTTAATTCAATAAGATTTTCCAAAAAATATTTAATGTACAGATTCGACTTAGTTACAATTTTATTATATGTATAGATTTTTTAATATATTTTACTAAAGTATCTCGCTTTGCTCGAGTGCGTCGCTATGTGCCTATATGTTACTCCAGATTATAGTCTATTTATACTATAAGTGTATGTATGTATTAGTGCTAAATTTCGTCTAAATCAACAAGCAACAAACATACACATTATATACAAACATACAAACTTAGGCATTAGTAGTGTGATATATAAATATTAACCACAGGAACAAAACTTGAAAGTTTAGTTAAAAATGCAAATAATTATAATTAGACTAATATATTATTTACCTTTTTGTCTTTCCAAGATGATAATAATGTTTCTTATCACATCTTCTACTATCTCTCGGCCAACAAACTGCAGTGCCGTTGTCTTGGCAGAAGCAGAGATGACACAACTTTTCTAAGGCATTAGAGTTTGATTCTCGCTTAAAGAAATAACCTATATCTGGACAAGAGTCGATTTTTTCTACTAAATATGCGTCTTTTGATGTATCTGCAATGAAAATTCTCTGTTAACAGAAATTTTTATCATAGGTTCCTAATTATACTACAAACGCTGCTGTTTGTGAGGAGTGAACGTAAGAGGTATGGATGTATGAACAGATGTTTGTTACTCTTTCACACAAAAACTGATGAACAGATTTTGATGAACTTCTACTGCTTATACATACATCATGTAAGTCTCCTCTAACTCTACAGATATAGTAATATACAAATAGACTACGCCATAATTGCTAGGATATAAATGTATATTAAGACCTTTTGTATATAGTGACACATTACGAGTATATTTAATCTATACATACCTATAATAAAATTCTAAATAACTCAAATCTGTACATTAAATATTTTTTGGTAAATCTTATTGAAATAGACATTATTATCGATACAGAGTCCGAATCTATAGTTTTTAGAGTTTTTGTCTGACTGTCTGTCTGTTACCGCATCACGAAAAAACCACTGGACAGATTTCGATGAAATTTGGTATGATGATAGCTGGTTATCCGGGTCAACATATAGGATACTTTAACCGCGGAAAAAAAATCTCATTTCTGAGAAAAAATACAAAAAGTGCATTGTAAAAATATACTAATATGTAAAACCTAAGAATTTGGTTTTCGGTCATCTGAACGCGGGCGGAGCCGCGGGCAATGCTAGTTGTAATATATTCCTTTACTGCCTCCTTGCGTGTTGTAAAAATATTCTTCGTATTACAAAAGTAGACACTCTTCAATGACTACCAGGATAACCTTCGAGCTTGAGCTTATCTGATTAGTTTTGAGAAGTCCTTAATGCTTCAGTATGTTAAATTATATTTTTATAGTATTTCCAAACTACAACTACACAAGGTTTACCTGCGGTTTTGCTCGCGTACTATATTTACGTATAACTGTTCGAATCCTAAAAGTAGCGTGATGTTAGACTATTATAGGCAATGTAACAACCTTTCTCAATAATTGGGCTATCAAATACAAAGAAGAGTTTTTAAATCCGACTGCTAGTTCCCGAGATTGGTGCGTTCAAACAAATAAACAAACAATCACTTCAGCTTTAGTATGCACTTTTTACCGTTTAGTATAGATTTCTCAGAGTTGAGAGATTTCCTGCAGTAAAAAGTATCCCATATGTTGAACCGGATAACCAGCTATTTTCATACAATATTTTATCAAAATCTGTCCGGTGGTTTTCTCGTGATGCGTTCCCAGACAGACTGACAGACAAAAATTCTAAAAACTATAGTTTCGGCCTCTGTCTCGATCATAATGACTATTTCAATAAGAATTTCAAAAAAAAAATGATGAAATATAAGTATATGTATAGGTTGATTCCCCAAACAAACTTTCATCCCCATTTTCACCCCTTTAAAGGATGATTTCCGGGATAAAAAGAGTATCCTATGTCCTTCCCAGGGTCTCAAACTATCTTCTTACCAAATTTCATCTTAATCGGTTCAGTAGATCTAGAGATTACCCCCTACAACGTCACAAGCTCACAATTTCACAAACTTTACCTCTTTATAATATTATAGTAAAGATAGTTAAATTAAAGTGGTTTTAGAAGTAATGGTGTCGGTCAAAGTCTACGCTATGGTCAATAGATTGTGTAATGAGGACAGAAGGACATCAAAGCAGTCCCACGACGCGGATGTGTAAGACAATACCGTGTTGTGATACCATTCGTAAACATTTTTGCATTATACTTCAAAATTAGTCAAAAACGTTGTAATAGTTTAATTTTTGTATGAGTATGATAATAGTGCTTTTTAATTTATTGAAATAACCTCATTTATTACTGTCTATTGCCAATAAAAAAGCATATACAAAATAGATAAATAAGCATATATAAAATTTACGTTTGTATGTACTTTTTTAATGCCGAATCATAAAATAATTAAAATAAAAAAAAATTTTTGGGGGTGCACTACCCCTATCACTTACGGGTATAACAAATAGTTTACATCCTATTCTCAGACCTATTGAATATACACAAAAAATTTCATAAGAATCGATCAAGCCGTTTCGGAGGAGTTTTGTTACAAACACTGTGACACGAGAATTTTATATATAAGATAGATTATAAGAAAAATCCAGACAAGTGCGAGTCGGACTCGCCCACCGAGGGTTCCGTACAAAGTAGGAAATCTGTTTAATTTCAATTTTCATTTTTTTTTATTTTTTATAATTTTTCCTTTATTTGGGCTGTAAGACCTTGCTCTTTGCTAAATTTCATTATTTTAGGTCCACGGGAACTACCATAATAATACATAGACTTCGAACCCAAAACCTATAGGGTACTTCCGGTTGACCTAGAATTGTCAATTTTGGTTAAAAGCAAAGTCTTACAGCACAAGTAAAGGGAAAACTCTGAAAACTAAAAAAAGTTGGAAATTAAGGTAAATGTTCGCGAAAATCTAAATTTGCCCATATCGTTTTTCGCGTTGACTCAAGGCCTTGATTTTTATACACCTTATAGGAACTATAGACTTCAGTATCTGATGTAAACTTCAACTTCCTAGGTCCACCCGTTCTTGAGAAAATCGGTGGTGACACACGGACAGACAGACGGACAACAGAGTGATCTTATAAGGGTTCCTTTTTTACCTTTTGAGGTACGGGACCCAAAAACTCTATCATTTATCATTTTTTGCTCCCCGAATACGGTTGCCAGTGTCTGTGCGTGACGGGTAGTGTAATAAAAGCTAATTTTATCCACTATTTATGAGTTATAGTAGTCTTCGCCCTGTGCTTGACATTCGACGATAATCATATAATACTCTCTTAGATTTACGCGAATATTTGATATCTATATATATAATAAAATTGTAACTAAGTCGAATCTGTACATTGAATATTTTTCGGAAAATCTAATTGAAATATATATTATTATCGATACAGGGTCCGAATCTATAGTTTTTAGAATTTTTGTCTGTCTGTCTGTCTGTCTGTTACCGCATCACGAGAAAACTACTGGACAGATTTTGATGAAATTTTTTGATGAAATGAAATAAAATTTGTCATTTTTTGTTAAAAATAACAACCCTAAACATTTTAATTGAATATGGTTTCGGCTTCCATTATAAAAAAATACTAAAATAACTTAAAAAAAAGGCAAATAAACTATTATTGAGTAGGTACCTCTTTTGTGAAATCAGTCTAAAATTAATGTAGATTTCGAAGAATACCTACGTAACAAATTTTTACTAATTTGTCTACAACAATATATATAGAAGATTATGATATATATAGAATATTATGCATTAAATTAGCGAAATAATATTAATATTTACAAAATATTAACAAAATCTCACCTTTCCCAAACACATGTTGGAACAAAAGTAGCAACACGAACATATTCGTAATTTCTAACAGTATGTGACGGCTGAGTCGAACGAGTCGAAACAGTTCCCATGTTTGTAAACACTGAAAATTCATGTTTTTTCCACTCAGAGATGGATTCAAGTGGTTTTTTAATAACAACTTTAAAATCATGTATAGGTAAATAAATTCAGGAGTCATCAATTGTTATTTTCTATATCTAATTAAAAAACATTTACTTGTAGATAGTCTAGTATCTAGTCGTTTGTATATTTCACTAACAAACAAAAACAAATCTATCCCACGAGAACCGTACATTTTTTCGGGATAAAAAGTATCCTATGTGTTATTCTGATGTATGAACTATATTATTGTAAATTTCATTAAAATCCATTCAGTAGTTTTTGCGTTAAAGAGTAACAAACATCCACACATCTTTGCATCCAGACATCCATACATCCTCACAAACTTTCACATTTATAATATTAATAAAGATTAGTCTGGATATATTAACATATTAAATATTAAAAATATGTATAAATGTGAAGCCTTTGAAGAATATCTATACATATAATAAAATTGTAACCAAGCCGAATCTGTACATAAGATATTTTTTGGAAAATCTTATTGAAATAAACGTTATTATCGATACAGAGACCGAATCTATAGTTTTTAGAATTTCTGTTTGTCTGTCTGTCTGTTACCGCATCACACAAAAACCACTGGACGGATTTTGATGAAATTTGGTATGGTGATAGCTGGTTATCCGGGTCAACATAAAGGATACTTCTTACCGAAAATATCTCATTTTTAAGAAAAAATACAAAAACAGCAATGTAAGAATATACTAATATGTAAAACCTAAGAATTTGGTTTTTGGTCATCTGAACGCGGGCGTAGCCGCGGGCAATGCTAGTCATGTAATATAATGTATGTATATAATATATCTAATTATCTATGCAAAAATACATAAATATATGTTTAAAATTATTTTTTAGCACCACATCCACATTTGTGGCTTGACTGTGGTTTAAAAAATATGTCTTTTAGGGAAGTCACCTTTTCTGATTTTTTTTGTATTTTATTAATATTTATTAGTTACCAATACAATACCTTTGCATTTGCGGTTTTCTTTTAATTAGTGTATTAAAGGATATGGATGAAATTTACTAAATATACACAGATACTATAACCCGGGGTGATACATACGTGGTTACAACATTAGTACAGGTACGCATCTAGGCCATGTGAGGGTAGGTTCCTAGTTATAAATAATAAAATAAATGGGTACTAAATTCGCAAAAAAATGTTTTTGTCACGTTCCACCAATACACATTCCAGGCATTTCGTAACGTAAATAAACGTTTTGAAATGATGATAAATTATGTTATAAATTATGTTACTTTTTCATTTGGCTGGCACCGACTTCGAAAATATATTCTAAATGAAAACCCCTTTAGTTATTTTTTACATTTTAGTGCCTGGAAGTCGGATTTTTTTTTAAGTTTTTGTTTGTCCATTTTTAGTGTAGACGTAATAAGCACGTAATTTGTTAGAAGAAAGTTTTTTACTAACATGTTCGATTAAGCAATTTATTTAAAAAAAAAATTATTTGTTGATTTAAAAAAAACTGCTCGACCGATTGCGATAAAATTTATATGGGACCACCTGGGAAGTATATCCTTTGAAACAAAAAAAAAATCCAACGGTTCAGGCGTCTTCGAGTAATTGGCGAGTATTGGGATAAAAAAAAGATTCCGACGAATTGAGAACCTCCTCCTTTTTGGAAGATGGTTAAAAAGATTATTATTTTTAAAATAGCTACTCACCCTCACTCCGCTCGGGTTCGGCCCTAGGTACGTTTTAACGATAAGTATAGGTTTCTTAGAAATGAGATATTTTCCCGCAGTAAAAAGTATCCTATATCTTGACCCGGATAACCAGCTATCATCATATCAAATTTTATCAAAATCTATCCAGTGGTATTCTCGTGATGCGTTCCCAGGACAGACAGACAGATAAAAAATCTAAAAAGTATAGATTCGGCCTCTGTGTCGATAATAATTACTATATCAATAAGATTTTCCAAAAAATATATTTAATGTACAGATTCGACTCAGAATAGAATTTTATTATATTATGTATAGACGATACTAATGACTTGTTATTTAGAAAAAAGATGATATGTAAGTGTGGTGCACCATGTCAATTTATTTCTATCATGCAATTTTCGATTATTGAAATTATAGAAATTGTTGATTATTCATGCAATTAGAAGACTAGAACCTGACTCTCGGGCTATAGAATATAGTTTTTGAAAAAATGGCATTTATTACTTTCCAAACTTCAAAATGACTATTAAAATATTTATTTTACTCTGAAAGGTAGAAGTTGTTCTTGTAATTTATAAAACATGTTTAATATTAATTAAAGTATAACTTAATATTGTCAAAATAAACCACAAACAACGTGAGGACCTCTTTTTTTTTGAAGGTAGCAAAAAAATGATGAAAGTAATATTTAACCCTGTTACAATTTTATAACATTACAAAATATAATGAACAATAAATATCAATTAAAATTCCTAGTTATACCAAAATCCATCCATCGAAACGTGTATTTTGGAAAACATTCTCGTATTACGAAATCTATTGCATTGTTCCAACAATGCACGTAGTGTTGCTGCTAGCTATTTGTGGCATCTCCGGTAAGATTTTTTGTAATATTTACTATTATAAAATGCGAATGTCTATATGTATGTATGTTTGTTTCTCCTTCACGCTAAAACGGCTGGACCGATTTGGATGATATTTAGTAAACATATAAAATATTTTAAGCCATAATAACATATAGCGTATATTATTATGAACTGTAAATAATAAAATTTACACGTAGATACTGGAGCGAGACGAGTTTATGTCTAATTGCTCCACTGCTAACAGTCGTAGCTTTATTGACCTCCCTAAATTAATAGTATATATAAAGCAACAAAACTTCCAATAGCGTGTTCAAACGAAAGAGCAAACAATCTCTTCAGATTTATTAATTAAAAAATATATATTATGTTATGGTATTAACATGCGCGGATCCACTGATAAATCTCTAGTAACATATTAATAGACACTACTAAAATGTAATAAGTATGACTGGCCATTCGACAGAGATCACAGGATCGATACAATGGTGTCAATATATGGACTTATTAAATTCTCAAGAGTAGTGTCCTCCCGACCGATTCTGGCCACGGCGGTCATCTAACTGAGACTAGCTATCTGCGCAGAAGATATTATAGTGCGCAAATGTACGCGCAGACACAAGTGCACTCTCTATTCCTGTCACTCTCATACTCCGGTGGGACGACTGCTCGACACGACCCGTGAGAGTTAAGGAGTAGGACCGAGAGCTTTACATGCTCTCCGACATACGAGGTAGAAACAAAGCCAACTTCCCAACTCTCGGCTGTTACTGAGAATTTCATGACAGAAAAACTCAATAACTCAACTTGGCCCGACCTCTCATGCTAGGCATTAGACCACCGAGGAGTAAATAAATATTAAATCTAACACACAAATATACTAAAACTCTTTACATTTATTTTAGTATCATCACAAAGCGAATATGGTTTTCAATATATTAACACAGATGCGTTCAGCTTAAAAGATACTTGTGAAATGTGCTACGGCTACGACTGCACAAGTATAAATGGAGCCAGATGTGAGTATTATAGAGAAGCAAACGAAATTCTAGAAGAAGATGACGAATATGAAAAAGAAGAGAATGAGTTAACCAACGAAGTGGATAATATATTAGGGGAATACGTTGATATAGGTATTTGAAATCAAATTTTTATTGTTTTGAAATTGATCTCTACTAACTATATCTATAATAATTTTACGTTACAAAAATAAAAAAAATATATCCTTTATTTTTAGTTCACTTTTTACGCAATCGGGTTTTTTATTTTTGTATTTTTTTTTATTTACACCTTTTTAGTTTTAGTCAGTTAAACATCTTTAGTTATATTTAACAATATCTTATCCTAAATTACTTTAAAACATACAAGCTGTATATGTTTTTGTAATCGCCTTTAATTAATACCATATAACTTTTATATTTTAGCTAGTATACTTGTTTTTATATTTAAAAAATATAATTGTTCACTAAGTAATGTTTAATTGATTATTTAAATTACATAAAATAACTTAATCGAAATAAAATTTTCTCTTAAGACTATAGAAATGTAGACGCCTTGGTTAGAAAATAATAAATGTAAACGAGTATATTTATTTTGACTTCACTTAAATTTATTACAAAACTAGCGACTCACCCTGGCTTAGCTCGGGTTCGCCCCTAGTTGCTTAAAAAATGGGGGTAGGAAAGTAAAAAATAATACTTTCTTAGATTTACGCGAATGTTTGACATTTTTAAATATAACTATCTTTTCGGATTATTTCGCGGATTTATTTTGATTTTTGTTTACTATATATGTACAGTTGCTGTAAAGCATTCGAAACGTCGGGAACCAAAAATCAAAATAAATCCGCGAAATAATCCGAAAAGATAGTTATATTTAAAAAAGGTAAAAAATACTTTACGACCTATTCTCATATTACATCAAATATTAAAAAACAAGATTTAACTCTAAAAAGGATATTCAGTAGTCCCTTGATGCTGCAATATAAGAGATTGTGTTATCCATACATATATCAGATCAAAATATTTTAGCTTTCTAGTGAGGTACTAAAATGTTTCGTGATTTCCAGCGTCATCGAATCCCAGATATAAAGAATGTATTCCTTTAATTTCTCAATATACAAATTGTAATAAAGGTACGTATAAATTATTTTAATTGTATTATTATTTAAAGCACCGTACTCTCAGATAGACCATATTGATAGTATATATATATATATATATATATATATATATATATATATATATATATATATATATATATAGTAACAACTTCTCTTTATAATAGGTTAAGTCGGTCGCCATCTATTTTCAAGAAAAATGGCCATACAAAGTATATACACTTGTGTGTTTACAAGAAAAAATTATTAAATTAAGAAACTTAGTCTGTCTTTTAATCTATACATATAATAAAATTGTAACTAAGTCGATTCTGTACATTACATATTTTTTGGAAAATCTAATTGAAATAGACATCATTATCGATACAGAGTCCGAATCTATAGTTTTTAGAATTTCTGTCTGTCTGTCTGTCCGTCTGTTACCGCATCACAAGAAAACCACTAGACAGATTTTGATGAAATTTGGTATGATGATAGCTGGTTATCCGGGTCAACATATAGGACACTTTTTACCGCGGGAAAATATCTCGTTTCTGAGAAAAAATACAAAAACTGCATTGTAAGAGTATACTAATATGTAAAACCTAAGAATTTGGTTTTTGGTCATCTGAACGCGGGCGGAGCCGCGGGTAGTGCTAGTATAAAATAAATGTTAATTAATTAAAAATTACACACGCACCTACAAAAATATTGGATAAAACGCTAGACGCTGAATCTCGATGTGATCAATCATCTCACGATTGAGGCATTAACAACTAGATGTTATCTTTCCTCCTCATTTTTTACAGATAATATATGTAATGGTTGTAAAATGTGTAACTGTGATATCAGTGGAGTGTGGAGCTGCACAAATAAAGAAAAATGTCATTCAGAGCCTTTACTTGTGATAGATCATCGAATGTTAGTTCTCGCTATGGAAAACCTAAACGAATGTATGTATTAAATGAAGTTTTATGGGCTCATATTCTTTTTCTTTAACTTTGGTTTAACTGAAAATTTATTTATCTAATGAATGCACTTATGAATCGAACCGAAGATCTACGGAGTTGAAGCCATACATAGATAGCCAATGGACCATTGAGGTGGATATAAAATTACAAGTAATAATAATTTAACGGTGGAAATAGTAATTACTTTGATTACATCAAAGGATTCATATTGAAATTAAAAAGGTGTTAAAACTCAATTATTCTTGTTCTCTGAATTCCAGTTAAGAAATTCCATTTACTTGGAACAGAAAAGTCCATCAACAATATGAACAATGGTATAAATATAAACAGTCCTGTGGATATTGTTACATGGATGTATGATGTTAAAAATTTAGATTTAGATCTGGATGGTAGAAATACAATCGAAAAAGCTGCACTAAGAAATAGTACTTCAGGTAAGATTCGTATTCACTTCATTTTAATGTCTCACTACTACTTCTAATATTAGGCGGACTTCACATGTCTTTCGAAAAGTTGTTAGGTAAGTAAGTTTTACTTCACCATAAGGCAAGTGATAGTCAAGTTTAAATTCACACATGAAAATATCAGATACGCGAAATCCGTATGGATTTGAACCCGTTTCATTTAGTTTTCCAAACACTTTGAGTAACTTACGTCATATATATTTTTTAAACTTTCTATTTTAATGATAACTATCATTAGCTATCATGATGAACACATTAAATGGAATTGGAATGTAATTGGAAACATTTCAATGGAATAATTTTACTATACCACGTGAATATATATATCCTAACAAAAACATCAACGGTTTTCTTTTTAAGATAGAATGAAAAGAAAACAAAAATTACATTGTTCATTGCTATAATTCCAATATCAATATTTCCTATATACAAAAACATACAGATTAATCATTTAGTAATGTTTATTTCTAATCATCATTTTCTGTGAAATTCTAGGTCTTGAATATGTAGATAACGATAGTGCGCTTCTCGATTTCTTCAAACACCAAAATTTAAAACCTAAACGTTCAGAAAAACGAAATGCTATATTGGTAACTAATGAAAGTTATATCAATGCGATAATCGATAATCATACTGCTATAGACGAAGATTTGCATAACACAGTCATTTTTCCATTACTTAATATTGTGAATGAAAAAGAAAAAGAGCTTAACAGAGTTATAAGTATTAAAGATAATCTTTTAAGCTATTTGAAATCTCATACAAATATAACTTTGAAAAATATTACAACTACTTCTAAGAATGTAGAAAATTCTTCTCTTTACCTGTATCAATTTGATGTATCACCAGCAATTTTGAATAATTTTAGAAGACTCAATCCGAATAGGTTAGAAGACTATTTAAAAAAATTAAAAAGAGATATCTACGAAGTAATGCGAGATATAGCAAGAATTCAGAGACTCTCAAATTCATCAAAAATGCCCCAAGATTTGAAAATGTTGATAAAAGCAATGAGAAATTATGTAAATAAAGAGAACAAACGAAAAAAGATCAAGCAATCTGAAATAATAATCAACTTACGAAGAAAGCTCGACAAGGACAAAAATGATGAGAATGAATATCCTATAAACACAATTAATAATATACTAGAAGTGTTAGACAGAGATATGCCAACTGCTGATGCTTTAGCACCTCTGTCTCAACACTGTAGAAAAATTTTAAAAAGAATCGTTAAGCATTTCGCTATAGAAGATCCAGTTAGCATGATATCAGAAGTATTCTATCCTGAAAATAATGTGGAAAATTATTTAAACAGCGTAGGAATTAAATGGCAAAAGTTGACATTGGGAATCGGTAAAAATGAAATTTCAGAAAAACTTTACAGTCTTAAACTATTTGAACTAGCATTATCTAAAGATATAACTACAATTCAAAAGACTGTGGAGATAATAGAGTTTGCTCAAACGAGACGCATGAATGTTATTGATAATTTTGTAGGCGAAAGAATCGCTTCCAAAATAGGAAATGATCTGCGGAAGATAAACAATCGTGTGAACCAAATCTTACATTTTCAAACGATTGGAAAGAAAGATATAATAAGCTCGACCAGCCAAGCATTGACAAGTAGAGATATAAATAAAACTGAAAGAAAATCATTCCTACAGCGCATAAAGAAACTTATGAAAAATTCAAAAAAAGATATAAAAGATCTTTTACATAAAGTAAAGAAATCCAATGTAATGAAGCGTATAGCGAAAAAGAAAATGGATGAATTGACGTATAAGAAGTTTTCTGAATATGAGGAAACTATGCAAAGATGGAAGAATAATTTGAATGTTGTAACGCGAAGAAAAAGAAACGATGGGTATTTTCAAAAATATGTGAACCGTATGAAGAATATCATACCAAGTTACTTGAGAGGGAAAGTAAAGCCTGTTGTTAAGAAAAAGATTAATAAAAGTGAGACGCTTCAAAGTAAACATCAAAACAAAGGTAATTGCACGATTATTCTATCTATCTATCTGAGCCTGAATTTACCAAATATAATTTTTATATTTACGAAATAGAAATTTACAAAAATAACGACGTGTTTTGTAAAAAAATCGTTAAAATTTGCAATTTATGTACACGTACGAATTTTTTTATTACATTGTCTCATTTGGTAAAGAACAAAAATCTATTAACTTTTGTTTACTTTCATTATGAAAATAACTAAAAATTAAAAATAATTTCAGGTAAAAAAAATAATAAGAACATCACTTCAACAACTCCTTTAATAAAATTGTCAACCAAAAGAAAACACAAAGGAAAACGTAGACACAGCCACAATAAAAACGTACAACAATCAAAGAGTACAACTCAAGTATAAAGACTCGCAACTAACTGGAATAAGCAATAACAAAATAAAGATTACGTTATAATTTAATAAGCATATTATTATGTACATTTCAACATGGCTTTTTCCTAATATAAAAAATCGATAAACAAATTTTCTTTTGAAAATTAGTTAGATTCTCTCAAATTTGCAGGTTTCCTCATAATATTTTCCTTTACAGTGAAAGGAGTGGTTATATTCAATATTTTTTTTAACGTCACGGCACGGGCCTTCCTTCAATGAAATCAGGAAATGATCCACCACGCTGGCTAAGTGCGTGTTGGCGAACTTCACAAGTTCACATGCCTTTCGAAAGCTTGCTAGTTGCTAGGTTCCTTCAGACATGCAGGTTTCCTCACGATGTTTTCCTTCACCGAAAGACAAGTGGTAATCGTGTAGGAAATTATTTGCACATGAAAATACTAACAGTGCGAGATTTGAACTCGCTTCACTCCGATTCCCAAGCAAGCATGTTACCACTGTACAACCACAATCGACTGATAATCAGGTATAAATAAAAAAAAACTTGGAAATGAATATCTTAGAGAAGTGAGACCCAAGCTTGAACTGGCTTCATTTTATTTTACAAGTCAACGTGTTACTGACCTGCTCGTAGCTTCCAAATGGATAGACCGATTTTAATGCGATCATTCTATTTGATGGTTCTTAAAGTTATATTTATTTAAATATATTGCAATTTTAAGTCATTAGTCCTTCGGAACTAGTGTGAGAATTTTATAGAATACGATTTTTGTTTTTTTTTGCGGTTCTGTTCATGCTGTATCATCAAAAAGTAGCCTACGTGAAAATTCACTCATCATTTTTTCCCTACCCGCCTAAACTTTAATAATCTATACATATAATAAAATTGTAACTTAGCCGAATCTGTACATTAAATATTTTTTGGAAAATCTTATTGAAATAAACATTATCATCGATACAGAGACCGAATCTATAGTTTTTAGAATTTTTGTCTGTCTGTCTGTAACCGCATCACGGAAAAACCATTTTGATGAAATTTGGTATAATGATAGCTGGTTATCCGGGTCAACATATAATATACTTTTTACTGCGAGAAAATATCTCAGTTCTGAGAAAAAAAAATACAAAAATTGCAATGTAAGAGTATACTAATATTATGTAAAACGTAAGAATTTGGTTTTTGGTCATCTGAAGAAAAAAATACTTATCAAATTATTATATTAATAAAACGTTACTAAAAAAAAATGAAGTTAGGGATCTTGGTGTTATAATAGATTCTGAAATGAAATTTAAAAGCCACATCAACAAAACTATCCGTACTTGTTTTAAGATGCTTAATTTCATATACCGTAATACAAGAGAATTTAAATCTGTATATGCTTTAAAAACTCTATACAATGCATTGGTACGAGCAATGTAGATTACTGTTGTGTAATTTGGTATCCCTACTATCAAAACCATATTGAAAGAATTCAAAAAGTTCAAAGAAAGTTTACATCTAGACTTGTTTACACTACCAATTCTGTACCAAACAGAAAACATAATATTACGTACGAGAGTAGGCTAAATCTCTTTGACATGGACTCATTATTAAAGCGCCAAAAACTTCTTGGGTTAATGTTTCTTTATAAAATATTGAATAACTATGTAGACTCGCCTAACATAATATCTAAGATAGGACTACAAGTTGCTTGCTCTTCCGCACGATTGAGTAATTATCAACCTTTTTACATTAGTTTCAGACAAAATAGATTCGGACAAAACTCACCTTTAAACAAAATCTTAATAAACTATAAAGAAGTCTCTCGCAAGTATCCTGTTATAGATATATTTTCAAATACAATGTACAATTTTAAAAGAAATCTTAAAGATATCATTTAGTGTTACATTTCATTTATTTTTTTAATATTATTGTCATTTAAGTAGAGTGTATGTATTACCTAATTATAAAATGTTGTGCATGCCTGTAATCTAGAGTTATATACAAAAAAGGAATTTATTAACGTTATTTTAGTGATAAAGTTTGTGTATGTACTCTAGTTGGTAAGCCTTATTTAATTAAAAAAAACTGAACGCGGGCAGAGCCGCGGGCCATGTTAGTGAAGTATAACTTCAAAAGCAATATTTTTGTGGGAAAATTTTATCAACACCTGGTAACTTTAATTAATGTCCTTCAATAATTAATTGATTATTGCTTATTAATTAACATTTGGCTACATGTTTTTTTTTTGTTTGTTTTTCTATGGCACTCCGTCTATATTATTCCTTGGTCTGTGCAACGTGCTAATATGAAAATACTATAGGAGACACTGATCAAAAGAATTGAATTAAATAACGTTCCATTCCAACATTTACATTATATTGTGATAGTCTATTCATAAAATAACGAATAAAAATGCGGCGTCGGCGCGCCTACCAAAATTAGAATAGCAATATTACACTTATATTTATTTTTGATATTTTATTTTTTGTCACTCAAATTGGTCTCAATGTAAACTGGTGTAGTACCAAGATGCAAAGAAAATGGATATCATTTGTTTCCAAAAGACAAAAACATGAAAAAAAAACAAGAAAATGTGGATAAAAACAATAAGACTGAGCCAAAATTGGCGAAATCACAATTTTTATCTTTATCCGTCCACGACCGCAGACATGGCTTCGTGTCAGTTAACAATATTAATATTAAATAATTTCTTAGAATTTTAATTAATTTCTTAGAAAACCTGGAGGTGTTATGGGTATGTACTATGTGGACATAATTTTAGAGAAAGTGATTTTAAAACTGTCAAATCATCTACAGGTGAATATTTTTTTCAACTAACTGTCTGTTATGTTTAATCCAACCATAGCGGTCCTGGGCAGCCCACATCCATCCACTACTACTACCCTCTAGAGTTAGCAAGTAATACTTGACATTAAAAAACACGTATATTCTAAATACATATTTTTTACACTTATGCCCGATTTCACCAACGTCACCTAAGTTCAAGGGATCCCCTAAGCATGGTTAGGGGGCTGTTAGGGGACAGTTTCTGTTTCACCGACAGTTAGTGGTCACCTAAATATTAAAAGGCCCCCTAAATTTAGGTGCTCGAAATATGGGCTTAAAGACGATCGTAAAACGAAATTTAATTTAGGGGCTAGCTTAGCCTTTTAAGCTAGGAATCCCATACGTAGGTGGTAGCTTATGGATTATTGGTGAAATCGGGCATTAAACTCCGAGCCTCTACTCCATACTGATAACATAATTATTGAAATAACTCTATTTGTAATATTATCATTTTAAATAATTCAATGAATTGTGACAGAGACATTTTGCATTATTAAGACATAAACTTAATTTCAGAATCATTTTTTACACTTTTTTTGCAGAGAATTCATTTTGGCAAGCAAGGACAGATTACCAACATACAGAATGCGGGAATCGAACTCACAATCTGCCGTTCTTACAAAAATATTAACTCAACTAAATGCTATTTAAAACACACGTAGGCAGGTTATTAGTTTATTTACAAAACAAATATAGTTTACAATATGGAATAATCCCCTTCCCTTCATAAAATTATATGAATTTTTAAATGTTATTTTGCTTCTCGATAACTAGACACTAAATGAAATTTTTATCCTACTTTAAAAAATGATATTAATTTGACAAATTGTTGTGACGACATTGATACCTATTTAGGTAGTGTTAAAGAAAGATACTTAGTACTTGAAATAAAAACTAAAAATATGTATAAAAGCTTCATATAGCTTCGTTGTTGTCTGTCTGTCTGTTTTTCTGTCTATCAAGATCATTTTTCTCAGGAACGTATGGTATTAAGTTGAAATAAACATCAAATACTCAGGTTTGCATCCCTTGGCGCCGTGATAAAAATCAAACTACTAAGTCAACGCAAACAAAAGATACGGCCGATTGTACTTATATTTTGACACTCGCAAGGTTCCAAACTGTTGAAATTTTTTTTCAGAACAACAAAAATGTAAGAAATATAATATTTTTAATATCACTCATCCTTCTTATTATGTAAAAATAATATTTTTTATCATTATTATTGTATTTAGCCCTTTTTAACGTATTACTGCTGGGCACGGGCCTCCCTTCAGTACGAGGGGAATCATCTTGACCAAAAAACGAACCGTGATTGGCACCATAGTGTGGATCGGGCTTAACACGTGCCGTAATATTTTAAGCTCCATCTCCTTCGTGTCTTCTCTATTCTACGTGACAGTGGCGAAGTAATCTGCAAAGAGGTAATCTGAGTCCAACTGACACGTTTTGAAGCCACTGACAAGGGAATTGAATTGAATTAAAAATTTAAATCTAAAATTGTGCTTTACTTCGAAGCTTAAGGATAAAAAATGATAAAGCGTGTTATAAAAATATATTTATTACAAAAAGTACTTAAAATTAATATTCTTTGGTAACAAAATAAATTAATAATACAATATTAAAGACAGTACTAAAACATAAAAGTAAACGAAAACCAAATAAAAAAAAATACAAACATAGTTTAATTTAAAAAAATGTCATGAGATGCAAAGTAGCCTACAGAAGCAAGTAAAATCATTCACCATTTAAATATTGCAATAAGCTAGAAATGCAAATTATTATAACAAAATATCAACAATATGGTCAGCTTGATATGTCTATAAAATAATGTGTCAGCAAGAAAAAATTACATAGTTTTATCAAAACTACAATAATTGCTTTATGAAAAGAAAACCTACAAGGTGTTCATAATATTCATTTCGATACAGATCCTCCGGTAATGATATTTTATATAAGGCAAAAGCGAAGCGAAACGTATCTCGGCTCTTAGCTCTTTAAGTTATTATTTATTTTCAACCCAAAGACAATTTCTTATCACAGCGCTTATATATTGATATAAGCAAAAAGTTAATTATAAACTTAAATGAATTAGAAGTGGTCAAAAGTTATATTAATGAAATCTACGACTTTTTTTATTTTTAATTTTAACAATAATTGTTGCAAATATATTTATTAA